GAGGAGGGAAAGAACAATCAGTATTACCAGTAGGCTTGTGTTTGTTTGAGATGGGTCCACACTTCCACCAGAAATTTGGTTTTGTGATGTTTTTCAAGTGAAAGTGTTGATCTGAATGCTTGTTTATACTAGGTTACTATCTGACCATTTAACACTAATTAAAGTTCTTACAAATTATGTTGTGTTTTTGATCCAGTTTTTACACATATAAGATTCTCAGAAGACTAAGTGCAAAAAAACCTGCTTCTAAATACTGTATTACATTTTAAATATAAAATTCTAATAGATGAGGTCTTGTTCTGTGGCTTTACTGTGTGCACCACACAGTGCCGTTGACATCAGTATAATCTCCCAAATTACATCAGAAATGCACGTATAACTGCAGAATGTGAACCTTGAGATAAAATCTGAAAAATGCCTTTTATGGAACCAGTTTATCTTCTATCTTCTCTCTTCCTTTCCCTCCAGTTAGTATGTAGATTACATATTTAAAAATGCAAACAGTTTCTAAACAGAGTTAAGTAGGTGGGAATGAACTAGGTGCTTTGTTTGACCTGAGGTTTCTGTCATGACCTGAATAGGGATTATTCGTTTAGTCTTCAGGATCAGGGAGGAACTGAACATTTGCAGGAGAAAATAACTAATTGTGTAGCTGGATTATTCGAAGTATCTCTTGGAAATAAATAGTAAGGGATTAAGGGAGAACTTCTAAGCCATGTGTATATAGAATGAAGTGCTTTTTAAAATACGTGAAATCTATTAGAAGGTGCCAGCATTTGACTTGCGTTTTCTCATTCAAAAGATAAACTAGCTTTTTTTTCTTTTCCAACTCTGTGAAGTGCCTTAATTATTTTTTTTTAAATAGGATGCATGCATTTTATAACTGCGGTAGGTGATGTTTTTACTAAAATGTTTCCAATAAATATAAAAAATATGAAAGTTTTCTTTAACTGCTTATCTTTATCATTAATAAAAATGTTAATGATGTAAAAATAGTTTTCATTATCTGGCTGAGAAGTTCATTGCCCTTTCTGTGTTTATTTTGGTATACACTGCCATCTACAAAATAGAGATATAGAAGAGAAAAGGAGGTGATATTTTTGTGTTACTAGTACCTGGTGTTAGCTAGAGTTCTGGCTAGGCTTTGATCTTGCAAACTTCTGTGTATGCATTTAAGCTGTGAAGATGGAATTGCTCACATCACCTCAGTGGCATTACTTAATTTTTGCACATATACCTTTCAGGCTGAAAGGAAGCATATGCTGTGTGGCTTCAATGTATTGTTTTACTAGAGCCTTCCATGTGTGCTGCAGATTTGTAGCAGGAAGCAGACATAGAGCAGCACAATTAAATACATATGTATCCTTATATGCAGTTTTTTTCTTCTTACATAAAACCCTGTAGGTCTAATTGTCTTCTGATGAGCATATTCAACTTTAATCATACAGTTCTCTAAACATAAAACAAACTGAGGTTTCTAAAAAAAAAAAAAAGTAGGCAAAGGGATAATGGAAGTTGAAAAATAACTGTCAGCTGACCTAATAGAGGACAGACCTGGAGGCAGCATGGGAGCTGCCAAAAGCATTACGTGCAGTTTGCCAGACCACCTGCTACTGAAGCACCTTCTATCCCTTTGTCAGCCTTGGCTCTGTGCAATAGTTCTGAGAACTGAGGGAAGGAAGAGAGAGATGCTGGAAAAAATAGGCATATGTGAGTTGCATGCGCTACAAAATGCAATGGTAGGGAAAGCTTGAAGGTAGTAAAATTAAACTTCAGCTGAAATAAGATAGAAAAGAATGAGGAACAGCATCTGTGAAAGCATTGCAACCGTGTATAAAAAACAAGATGCTAATTTTAGATAATTTCACAATGGTGTAAACCAGCCTATATCCTGTACTAAGTTTGTTTCCAGCATATTGGTTCCTTCAGTTCATTGTGTGATCATAGAAACACATGTATTAGCATGGGAACTTGTATGTTTTGAAAAGCACCAGTGAATAAGGGATATCTCATGATTGCTTCAGATTGTATACAGCTTGTGTAGTCAATGGAGGAACAGAACTGCATGACTGGCAAGGGAGGAGAGGGGAAATGTCATCACTTCCAGCTAGGGAAGGAGGAGCAAAGCAGCCTCCTTGGAGCACAGCTGTGGGTCAACTCTGCAATAGAAGTAGTGGCTCTTAGAGAAAAATCATAGCAAGAAGCAAGGGAGGATGAATAAAAAAGAAAAAAAAAAAAAAATAGTGTAAGAAGAAACACAGAATCGGAAAGGGTGAGAAAACTGAATTATTTTAACTTCTCTTTATGAAGTTATGTAGCCCTCATGTATGAAGCTGGTTTAAGCGAGGGTATGCTTGTTCTTTAAAACAGTAATGCTGGTTTAAAAAAGAGGATAATCTCCCTCTAAGGCTGCACTTAAGTAAGTCCATCCATCCCATTATCCTGTTTGAACAGGAATTGTCAAGTGAGAACTTGGAGAAATGCAGTGTGTGTAGAGAAATCTTTCTCCTTATTTTCCGTCTTGGCAGTTTTGGGAAATGGCATTTTTCCATAATACAGTATTGAGTTAAAGATCTTCACAAAAGATATTTCACTTACTCTGTATTGGACATCAGATATTTTTTGCAGTATTTATTTACTTCATGACAAGATAGCTATACTTAATGTCTGACCAAATCTGGATACTTGCTTGCTTGTCCTTGTATAAAAGGCTTTGAACAGCACAGTATACAAAGTGTCTTCAAAACTGGGAAGCGCTTGTTACATTCTTTAAAGCAAATACTGCAGTAAAACCCACAGGCTTTCCTCCCCTTAATCATCTTTAGAAGCGTTAGCACTGGAAGCAATGAAATGAGTTAACTAACCTTTTAAAGCTATAATTGAAGCTAGAATCATTTTGTGAACTTGGTCACATCTCTCAAAAAATAATTAAATCATTTTCAAGTTTGTTAATTTTTAATCTGAAAGACAGCTACTCTAGACCTAACCTTGAGTTGTTTTGATAACACTGGCAAGAATGTCTATGGGCAAAGCTATTTTCATGCATGTGGTTATTCAAGATACCCTCCTAGAAATCATTGTAATATTTAATTAAAATGTTAAAATATTTAATTACTGTAAACCACAGGGGATACCAATGTTGTAATTGCATTTAAGATGAGGAAAAGAAGTAATTTGTTTTTCAAATCTTGCTGACTTTATTAGCAATGGCATCAGCACTTTACCCCTTTTATTGTTTAAAAACTGATTACCTGAAGCATTACTGTAAAACAGGATAATATAAAAAGTTAATATGCATTTTAATATATCAAGCTAACCCAGTGTGACAGTGTTGAAAAGAATGCCTTTAAACAAACTTAGGTGTCTGTTTGATACGTTGCTGCCTTGGTATTTGGAAGGGATTATTTCTTCTTGTTAAACATGGTTGGCTTTCTGTTTGTTCAGAGTACAGTTTGTGATGGGCAAAATGTTTCTTTTTGCATTGCAAGCTTAGTGGAAAGTTTATTTAAAGTTTATTTTAAATAATCATGGCAGATACATGACTGATACTCTAAAACCTATTTGGGAATGTCATAAATTGATTTATGCTGTGAAGTAGGTCATATGGAAAAGTATACAATAATTGGGGGAAAACTGCAACACAGTATTTGATGGCTTTTAATTCACATATAAGAATATTTGCTTTGGTTGTATTAGTGACTGCCATAAGCCATGTCACTATCTGCTCAGTTTATGTAGTCGGGAAAACAACATTTATTTGTATCTATAGCTGTAGCTACTGGAGGGTGATTCAATAATTAACTTGGGATGATTATATTGGGAAATGAGCAGAAAGGAGGACAAATATCTTTTCTTCCAAAAAGGCTGTATTTTGTGGAGTGGGAGGGAACTGGTTGTTTTGGGTAGTTGGCAGCTGGTATCTTTTGTGGGACTGCCATAGCTGATGCTTGCTTATGTTCACATGCATTTGGACAGGAGAAAGATGGAAGGCAGGCTGTCACTGGTGTGTGTGTGTGTGTGTGTGTGTGTGTGAGAAAAACAAAAAAACAAACAAAAAACACAAATGCTTTGGGAGGCCAATCTGCCTCTACTGCCTACATTCCCTCCTAGCCAAACTCACTTCCTTAGTTAGAAAAGAAGTCTAGGTAGGTCAGTTCGCCAAGGCTCAAGTTAGTCTTCTGAATTATTTTTGCTGCTTTTGAAAAAGGTTATTTAAAAATAACATTTCAGAATGGTAAAAGAGCTCTTTCTGGTTTTATGCTTTTTTGCATTTATTTAAAAAAAAAAAAAAAAAAGCAACTGCTTTTTTTGTTTCATTCTTTCTAGCAGTAGGATTTTAAAATGTCTGAGCTTCAACTACTAGATGGTTATTTTGTAACTAAAAAAAACCCCATAAAATTATACCCACTACATAGAGAAATGTTACAGTTTAAAATTGAACTAATTATTTTAGGATTTGTGTAAAGATGTATACAGATTTCATCCATGAGTTATCTGCTCCTGCTTACAAAGATAGGCATATATGTGCATCTATCTAGTTTCCAAGTCTGGCGTTTTGTTATAATGATAACCAACACTTGCTAAGGTACCAGTTATTCTGGGGTCTCCTGTGATGTAATTAAATATGGATTTCCTTATCTATGTTTTCTCTAGATGCAGGGATTAGTGCTGTTTTCTGCTCTGTGGTAAAGACAGTTAGTAAAGTAGTTTTGACTGTTGTTATTAGATTATACATTGAGTTAGCTCAAAATCATTAAAAAACATTAGCTTAAGCACAAGAGAAAATACAAATGCCAAAAGTTCAAATACAGACTTGAGATAACTTGAGAAACACAAGAAATTTGGAAAACTACTGTTTTTACCAATGAAGTTATGTAAATAGTCTTGCTTCACAGCTGACATCCATGTAAACGTTTCTTCAATATTTTGATACTTAGTGATGATGTTTGTACTGCTACAGCAAATTTACCTAGAGAAAATGTTGTTTTCTCTGAAATCAGAAAGAACTCTGCAACATGATACTTGACTGCTGCGCTCAGCAAAGAACATACGAGAAATTCTTTGGGTTACTGGCAGGGGTGAGTCCTAATTTCATGTTTTACACTTGATGGTAGATAATTTCTTTTGGTTTACTCTTCTCAAACCAATTTTAATAGAGAACTAAAACTAATAGTCTTTATTATACTGAAAATGATTATGTTAATTGATTGAATTAGCATTTGGATTGTAACAAGCATGGTGAATGCCAAATGAGAACTCATTTTCTCCTTTTAATGCTTTTTGGCCTCCCATTTTTCCATTACAGTAGACAATTAAATAGGAGGCCAAGGCATTGATACTAAAAGAAGTTAAAAAGTGTTATGAGTTACTGGAAAAATCCTTTTCTTAGTGCTAGTAGTTGACTTTAGAGACTCTTCTTTCAGCTGCTTAGCAGATTTTATTTATAAGACAAAGCAGTAATGCTGTCCTGGTTTTCCCTGTTTTGTTGTCTTTCAGTAAGCAGCTAGCATCTTGGGTTTTTGTTGTTGTTTTCATTTTTCTCAATGTAACTAGAGATTTAGTCGTGGTTAATTACCTAAGCTTTTCCTGTCTCTTACACTGACAGAGCTGACTCTTTAAGTCAAATAGTTGTCTTAAGAGAGTAAGCAGTTCTGATCAAAGGAAGTGTTTACTTCCATTTGTAGTTTTTTTTTAATTCAATATTTGAGGAAATATTTCTGCTGACTTGTTATGAAGCACTAGCCATTTGAACGTGCACGTTAAAAAGTTGTAGAATATAACTGCTAATTTCTGTGTTCATTGCAGTGTTTATGTCCAAAGTGTCTTGCCTCTAGCTGTGTTCCCTGCTCTCTCTCTGGTCTTAAATACCCATTCAATAATGTCATGAAAAAAGTTGTATTTGAGGGTTTACACCCATTGAGAATACTGGATGTATGGAAGTAAAATAAATTGCTGAATCATTTGCTGTAGGTCAAAATTGTTAATTACTACTTTGCAATGCAGATGAGTTCCGTGCTCTGACAAACTGCTGGAAGCAATCAATTGTATCAGTTTGGAGATGTTTTCTCTAAGTATTAGTTTAACAGAAGGTCTTGTGATAAATATTAGCAGCATTACATTTACATTGCATAAGTTATTTATGCATATGTTATTTGCATGCTTAATATTTTGCTTAATCTGGTTGTTTAAATTGTAAAATACTGTTTCAGCGTTTCTGCATGTTGAAAAAAGAATATATGGAATCCTTTGAAGCTATTTTCAAGGAACAGTATGATACCATTCATCGTTTGGAAACAAACAAATTAAGGAATGTTGCCAAGATGTTTGCTCATCTGCTGTACACTGATTCCATTCCCTGGAGTGTGAGTAGAACTGGCTATTGTCAAAGGTTTTTTATTTAATTATTAATCTATAGTAATTGAGAAATAAGTAATAAATTGGTTTTAGTATTCATTCGATGTTTTGGAATATTGGCACTTGTAGCAAACAGAATTATTTTAAATGTATTCTGAGATACATCATCGAACATCCTATCCTATCCACAGTTCTTCATTACTGGCTCTGAGCTGGAATTGGTTGATTAAAATGTACACTTTTTTTAGCTAATCAGCAGTGTAATTAGCTGTCTCAAAAAATAAGTGTAAAGAAATCTTCTAAAATTAACTTCATAGAGAAAAATTTCAAGCTTTTTATATGAAACTTTAGAAATAATTACGATTCTCTTTTCCTACACTTTTATTCTTGTTAGATAATGTAAACTAATTGACATTCTTTGGGCGCACACAAATTAATCCAAATATCTCACCTCTTCAGAACATCCATTTCAAATCTTTAACTTCCCAGAAGTTCTCACACCTGTTTTTCTTCCATTGACTTTTCTTGGACAGGATAAATCCTGAAACAATTGCTAGTTTAAAAATGATCAGAAATTTCTTGTTAGAATAGACCTTTCAAGGAAGAAAAGGTCAAGGAAGAAAATTCCTTGACTGGGAGTTAGTATGCATTGGTGAACAAAAATAAACAAAGTCTTTACTTGTTATTTCAGGAGGCCGGAGGGTTTTAAGGCTAAGTTTGTACATACTTTCTTTCATTTGTGTGTTTTTTTTCCTAAACATTTTCAGGTTCTGGAGTGTATAATACTGAGTGAAGAAACAACCACATCCTCCAGTAGGATTTTTGTCAAAATATTCTTTCAGGAGCTTAGTGAATATATGGGACTTCCAAATTTAAATGCAAGATTAAAGGACATGTAAGTTGAAGTTTTATTTTAAAAATAGTACCTTGAATTAATTCATCAGAAAGAGTACAGATAAAACCTCTATTTTCAAATGCAACCACATCTGTGGTTTTATAGCTGCAATATTCAAGAATAAGTTAACATATAACTTTACTTATTAGAGACTTAGAGTCCCATTAAATTGAATGCTACCGTTGACGAGTTCAGCTATGTGCATGAATATTTATTTGAAAGCTGTATTATTTTTTTCCAAAGACAGTGCAACTTGTAGAAGAATGTATCAAGCGCAAGTCTGTTAATTTCATTGTTTTGTCAGCAGTAATGAAAATTGCTGTGGCTGCTTGTTCTGTGAAGTTTAGGAGAAAAGGATTCTAGTTTTTCTAGGGTTAGTTTCTTGTCCTTGAGTACAGTGTCAACATTATTTTAAGCATTTGTGGTTTTTTAACACCTTGTGTTCTGGCAGCGTTCATCTTGGTCACTAGAGCTACTTCCCATTAGTTGGGTTGTCTGTTAAACAAACTTAATAGATGCTTTAGCTCATGTAAGTTTGAATTAAAACCATCTTAGGGCCCTGTTTAATTTGATCTTTGTCCTTCATGGTCATCAAGTAATATCTTTTACTATCACTAGCTATTGTGTTTTCACAAGTCTATTTAGGACTTTGCAAAATCAGGCTCTTCATACTGTCAGGTTATGACAACACATTATTAGACTCTCAGAAGTATTTTGTTAATATACATCACAGATATAAACAAGCAAAGTGTTGAAAAATGCATGAAGAGAATTTTCACTGTGCTATGTAATATAGTTCCTTTTTAAGTCGATTAACGTCAGTGAGAATTAGTGCTAAACTGGCATACTGATTATTTCAGTTGTTTGTTTTCAACAGAACATTGCAGCCTTTCTTTGAGGGATTACTGCCTCGGGATAACCCAAGAAACACTCGCTTTGCCATCAATTTCTTCACTTCCATTGGCCTTGGAGGACTTACGTGAGGAACATTTTTGTTTATTTGATTTAATATTTGCTTTCCTTCCCTGCCTCTCAGTTTAGGGGGTGGAGAGGGAAGTGGCTTTTTTTTTTTCTAATGATGATGTTGTTCCTTAGAGATGAATTACGGGAGCATCTGAAAAATGCACCAAAGATGATAATGACTCAGAAACAAGATGTTGAATCATCAGATTCATCTTCATCTTCAGAAACAGACTCTTCTTCAGATTCTGATTCTGACAGCAGTAGCAGTAGCTCAGAGTCATCCAGCAGCAGTGACTCTTCATCTAGCAGTAGCGACAGCAGTGACTCAGGTATTTAAGCACTAGCTAAAACTATTTATTTACCTGTTATTTACTTCTGTTTACTGTTATTGCTGTGGTTTATAAATATGTTTTTTTAATTTACATATTTTAAAAATACTGCTTTTTGCTCATATAAACTTATTTCAGAAAACAGAAAATCTTAGTTCCATTTTTAGCAATTTAAATACTTGAGGAACTTTGTTTTATAGAAGACTTTCTTACACAGTTGATACCTGTTGCACAGAGCTGTCTTTTCAATCTAGTGGAGGATGAAGGAGCTAGTATTAATATCTCTATGGAATGCTTAGTGGGGAACTCTGGGGACTAACATCTGATTCTTTTTTTTCCACTGCTTAGTTGCGTGAGCTTGATGCTCCTAGTATCCTCTTCTGTAAATATGGACCCTGTTGTGGATCAGACACAGCATTGGTCAGTTCTAGCAATGAGTTTTCTTTTATTCTATTTCTTATTCTTCATTTCTAATTCTTCCTCTGGAAGAGTTTGTGTTGATGCAGTGAGTTCTTGCCTTGAGGGAAGTCTTCAAGGATGAATCAGTTTTTGCTGACAACTTAGTATAATGTAGTTTCATGTTGTAATCATTATTTAGCATCTTATGCCATCCTAGAGCCTTCTCTTTGACATAAAGTGTCGTAAACATTGCTTAATCTGTGAAGTACTTGCTAGTATGAATTACTGTGTACAGTGTCTCCTATATAACATGAGCAGATGATAACACAGCATGACTTTCTGTAGTTCAGAAGCTTGTTGATTCAAAATTAATTTGATTTATTATGTGACTCAGAAATGAAAATGCAGATTAATAAAATAAAAGCAGTGTGTACTGCTCATGTCTCGAAATGCATTTTTGTCCTCTTGCAATGTTCCTCTTGCAATGTTCCTCTACAAAATCTGATTTGCATTTCATCGTAAAGCTATCACATTAATGACAGCAGAGCACTGGAGGAGGGCGCAGTCAAATAGGGTCAAAGAAGGCGTTAGTTCAGCAAAGAGCCAGATGGTTCTTGCATAGACAGCTGCAGCTCTGCTGAGCTGCTTGATAGGAAGGTAAGAGAGGTAAGTCCTTAGTGACAAACCAACTGAGTCTGCAGTCTGATAGTATGAGCACTTGATTTTTGTAATCTTAGGACCTTCTTTTTTACTATTTGTCCTCCTTCATCAAGGAATACAGTCATTAAACTTGTATTTTTATATCTTAGTAGCCCAGTTTCGCTTTTTCTCTGATTTTTGTCTATTTAAATATTGTGTATGGGATACTTAATTTGAGATGACTATATACTTATAAACGTGGGTCAGGCTTGCTACAAAATGAAGGTATTTTACTGGTTATAGCTTGATTTTTTAAAAAGCTGCTAACAGAGGGGAGGCGGCTTTACCTTGGTAGAATTTGGAGAAAAAAAAGAAAAGCTTACTGTTCTAAAATATAACCAAAGTGATCTGTCGTGGCATGTTAGCAGGGTGCCAGGAAGCCTTAGTTCAGACAGATTAGCCAGCTTCTGTAGAACTCAGATATTTTATGTACTATTAAATCAATTTATGGCTACAGTATTTTCAAAAGGTGGTTAGAAACAGTTAAATTATGTGATACTGTAGCTCATATAATAACCATTGTTAACTGTAAATGGCTGCAACTTAGTGTTCATTGTTTGCTTATAATGCTTTGTCACATCTGTTGAGAGAAATCTGCGGATTGTTAATAAAGAGCAAACAGGTACAGTAAAGTCTTCCTCTGAGATAAATACTGCTGCACATTCAGAAATACAGATGTTGGTTCATTTGGAGGCTGTTTCTGAGGTAGTTATACATTATTTTCAAAAGCCAAGTTTTATTAGACAAAAAAATATTTTCTGCTAATTAAAAGCAAATACGTACTGGTTTAAAGCAGCTACACTGCCTTTGCTTTGCTTTCACTCAGTACCTGTGGCATAACTAAAATATCAGTATATGTATGTATTTTTAAGGACTTACCTGGCTTTTATCAAAACATCCTCTTCTTAAACTTCTTGTTAACTTTACGTTGTTCTTTAGCCCTCATGATAATTTTACTTTTCACTTGAAACAAGTGTGTAGACCCAGTTTATCTGGGGACTTTTTAAAGCTCTGTAGGTGTTAATGTAATGCTATTTCCTGTGGTTCCTAGCGTCAGTAGTGTATGGCCTTTCTTCTTAAGGTTCTGAAGCTGATCTTAAATTGTTGACAAGCTGGCACTATCATTCCTGAAAACAAGCCAGAGTCATTGTTATGTTGTTGCAGTACCACAAAAAGTTTCTGAAGCTATTTCATCCTGCTTTTCTTTCTTAGGATAGTGTTAAGAGTTTTTTCCCAATCTGCTATTTTTAAACTCCTTGACTGGTAAGCTTTTCCAGAAAGTAATTGGTGGAGTAAACAGTTTGAAGATAATGGATGGTCTGGAAAAGGTGACCTTTCGGAAAGAAATTTTCGGAGAGTTTTGATATATGGCTTTACATCCTGGTCTTTCTGTATCAAGTCAGTAAAAAGGTGATGATGTGTAGAGGCTCTCAGAATTCAGGCATCACTTCCAGATAGGTAAAAGATAAAAGCCCTGCAGGTGTCACAGCAACAAATGAGTAGAGGAGGGGAGAAGCTTGATTGTTGGAGTTTTGTCAGTATGTAGCGCTTAAAATCTGAAGGCATGTCTTTCACAATCTACGTGTTATGTCAGATTGTTGTTTAGCGTGTTACTCTTTTGGTATGAGTTACTTCATTTACAGTCATGGTAAATAGGATGAAATGTGGAAGACTATTCAATGAGGTCATATTTTCTTGTTTTTACTGTTTTGGATGTGGTGTAGCCTTGCCTGTTGTTCATGTGAGGTTTGTGGGTTTGTAACAGTGTGGAGATGCTGACAAATGCTGAAGTTTAGAGGAAGAGCTTGTTAGTCAGCTCACACTTCAAGGAAAAATTTCTCTTCATATTAAAATATGAGGCCTGTAATACAGCCAGACATTTAAAAATAGTCAGAACCTGTTCAGTTAAAAGAATGGGTGGATTTTTGTCCCATTGCATGAAATCCTTGGTTGAGGGGAGGGATACAAGTAAAGCTGATATTTTTGTAACCTCTGGCTAGATACATAACAACAAAAGTTGGAGTGTTTTTCCATAAAAGTATTTCTTTATAACTCTTGGTGTACTTTAATAGATCAAATAGTTGATTAAAATAAAACCTTATTCCCATAATTTGTTGTAATTTCAGATGCTTCCAAAGCTAAAAGAAGGAGAACACAAAAGAAAAATAGAGAATCTGATAAAGCTTCCCGGAAAAAACAAGAAAGGAAAAGGAAATCTCTTGAGAAGAAAGTGGGAAGGAGACGGCAAGAGGACAGAAGTGATAGTGAGAGCAAGTTAGAAAGAAATCACCAAAATATGAGAGAAGCACACAGGAGGGATGACGCATCAAAATATCATCACAGAGATGAGTCTAATGGCAGAGACGATTACGAAGCACATAGGAGAGATGACGTATCAAAATACCACCACAGGGATGAGTCTAATGGCAGAGATGATTACCATAGTGGAAGGGATAGGAACCACGAGAGAAGTAAGGATCTAGAAAATAAACACAGCAATTCAAAACTGAAGAAAGCAGAAAGAAGAGCTTCTTTTTCTGATGATGAAAGTTATAGACATGGGAGCAGAGATAATGGACATCGGAGTAGAAAAAGAGAAAGATCTAGGTCTGGAGAGAGATCCTATAACAAGTCAAGTCCAAGGGAGGAGGAAGAAGACCACCGATACAGAAATGGCTCAGAGAGACTCAGAGAGAAGTACAACCATTACTCTGACCAGTACAGGGAATCAAGAAAATATGAGGATAGACGAAGGGAGAATTCCCCACACAGACGAAAATAATACCTAAACAGTTTGAAATAAATGGGCATTTCTGGGCTGATAAAACTGTATTTTAAAAAAGTGACTAAACTTTCTTTAAAAAAGATTTTGTACAAAGTGGTAGTTTGCATTTGTAAATTTTATCAGACTTTTTCAGATTTTCAGTACTGCTTTTTTATAACTGTTGCTTTAAGTCTTTCTGTTAAACTCATCCTCTGGGAAGATGAAGTTGTTTATTTTGTGAATAAAACAGTTAAGATCTCAGTGAAATGGGTGTTTTTGTCACTTAATTTCAAGTATTTGTAACTTTATAGTATTAAAAAGTTGGGCTTTAACTTGGGCTAATTGCAGATCAGAAATGCTGAAGCTAACGTAAGGATCTCAGATTATATATAGGTGATGCATTAGAAGGCTTTTTAAATGGAGTTACATCAGCATGAGCACTACATGCGTTCTACAGTTATACATTCTTTCATCTTCATAAAACTTCATCTTCAAACTTACATGGGAGTAAGTTTGACCAAATTTTTTCAGGAAAACCTTTGTTTATTTTTTCAAGAGTTAAAAATTGGAAAAGCAGTTTTATTATTTTAAATGTCACTTTTGAAAATGTGTCAACTTGTTCTGTGTTACTTTTCACAGTGTTTTTTAATGTTATAACATCCTAAGCTTGAGATCTACACTTGTGATCTTACAGAGAGGAAAAAATTTTTTTGGCTGTGAATCTGATTTAAAGTCATGTGTAGACTTCAGGTGTAGCTCCAAGGGAAATGTTTAAGGAATGTCCTTCCTGGTATACTTTAAAAAAAAAAAAAAAAAAAAGTGAAACAGAAGACTTCAAATCTTCTTCACTTTGAACTGTGTGGCTTGAAAGGCTTGAGCTTACTGGAAGCAAAGTTTTACCAAAAACAAACAAAAAAACCCAGCAGTTTATAATAATAGAAGTAGTTCTATCTAGAGTCATTTGAAGAACTAGCTCAACATTCATTGTTTGACTTATGAATCAGAATTGTGGTTAAGATTAAATATCATCACTAAAAAAGACAAATACAGAAAGTCTTTTGACATGAAATAGTAACGTGGCCATGGTCAGTAGAAAAGACAAGAATGACAGTTATGTATAACTCAACTGTTAGTGCCATAAAACCGTATTTTTTCACTTTGAAAAATGAACATAATTGCTGGGCACGTGAAAATATGCAGATTTCATTTGTGCTTTGTATTTCATTGTATGTAGAACATTATAAAAATACATTTGTGCTGTTTTGTAACAGACAACAGCAATTCCTAAGGAACTAGATTAGTTTGGGGTAAATCTTGTCACAACATTTTTCTAAGAAAAATGATGCTTTGGATTTCTGTTCTGTGTTTAACAGAATTTATTTCTGCCAGTTTTCATGCACTGAAATGTTTTCAAAGATACTAACAGAGAAAATAAAGACACACTGCAGAGAAAAATGAAAGTTTCTGTTGTGTTGCACCACACAGCTATAAATGCTTTAGTGGCACCATGAGGAATGTCTTATTTAAATTGTGATGTGGTTTTGTTTCTGTTCCCAATGCACTTCTCATTTTCCAAGGGAATCGTGCATTTTGGTAGCATACTTTAATTCCTAGAAAAGTTAGTTTGAAGTAATTCTTTTTAGAAAGATTAGTGCTAGTAATTATTGCTTGTTTCTTAGTTGTCTGCTAACAATATTAAAAATTACCTGTATTTCATAATTGTTGTATTGTACAAGCTTAGCTAATTTATCGAGAGTAACTCTTCCCTTACTGTACTGTAGGTTTAATAGCATCAATTTTATGAACCTGTAGCTTTTGAGATATTCTGTACAAATGAAAAGGCTTGTTAATTACATCTGTAATAAATGAAGATGCCTTAAAACAAAGCATCGTTTGCTTAAAACAAACAAATTCATTTGATCTGAGACTGCTGATCAGGAAATGCCAACGTAAACAGCACCTCCAAATTGTTGTGTTGCTTTATACTAGCTAATAGAAATACTGTGCTCTCCAAGGACAGGGAAAGGGAGAGAAGTGGGACTAGGACTTGAGCTGAGGTCTCGGCTGCATATACGGTTTCTTGATGATTTTTCTTTTTTATTCCCAGAAACATTAACAGATGCTTAATAGAATGAACTATTAATAATAGACCTGATTTTTACTGATAACTACCGCCAGCCGTTCAGTGTTAGCAAAGCTGTAACAGTCAGCAGTGCTTCTGACACATGGCTGGAAGTAGGTGGGCGCCCAGAAGCAGGGCTGCTCTGCAGCAGACCAGAAGTGTCCCCAGCCCTGACCTTGGTCAGCACACAGAGCAAGTTCCCAGTTACTAGCAGGCTCACTGCCTCCTGAACCAGAGGTTCTGTGTGCATCCCAACAAGGCCTCACCCACAAACTGGCCTCATTCTTTAATGCTTTTGCAGGGAGAACTGCAGCACCCTGTGACAGGAGTTCCAGTATTTACCTGTACAGTACGTGTGAAAGTAGGTCTCTTTCATAGCTTTTGCTTGATCACTTTTGTTCTGATTTCTTCTATGAATAGCACTGTGCAATTGCTTGCCATCTTGTGATTTTGCAGACCTAAATCTGTATATTGTCGTTTCTTTTCCAGTAGTTTAAAATTACTCTGATTAATCTCTCTCCATTTGAGATTGCTCCTTAGTCACAATCATTTTTCCTGATATGTATGTATGTATTTATTTATTTCAACTCTGTGTAGTAATTGTTTTTTGGAGTGTAGGAGTGAGTTGGTTTGATTTCAGTCTGTCCTTTCAACTGCTATAGAGTTGAATGATCCACTGAGGTGCTGGGTTTCTTTAGCTAGCTGTAGCTGTAGTGTGTGCATAGCAATGAAGGAACTCGTGCCTGTAGCTGGTGCTGGAGCACTACACTGTGTTTTGTGCAGCAGTTTTGGCTGAAAGACTTCAAAAACAGATCCTGTTGTATTCTTAACTCTCATGCTCAGTTATAATTCCTTATTGCTTAGAAGCAGGATTGATTTAGCTTATCCATAGCTTTCTGGGGTGGGTCTGGTTATGGCTGTGCTATCAGCAGTCACCCAGTGCCAGCACAGTGCCTGCTGGGCTGCCTGGGTAATGTGTGCAGAGCTGCTTCAGTCCTGCTGAGCTGCAGGGGAGGTCATAAGCACTCCTCAGCCAGGGAAGAGGGAAAATGTTTTGTCAAAATATTTAGACAGTCTCATTATGTAAACCGCCACAATACCATCTCTTAATATGAGAGCAGTCAGATAAATCTGGGGACAAAACTGTCTACTTATTTACTTAACAGCCATTTAAAAAATATTTTAACTGTAGTTACTGGAATGATTTTAATTGATATTTAAGAAATACAGCATCTTCAAATTGTATATAGTTCATTGCAGTCCATTGCAGCATGGAAATGTGAATTTGACTTCAGAAACATTTGTCTTATGGCATTGCTCATGTTAAGTTCCCAAACAGATTGCATGCATATTGAACATTAGATTTAATTCTGAAAATTACTCATACTACTAATTAGATTTAGACGGTACATTATTTTTACTTATGAGTACGCTATTTAATTTACTGAAAGCTTTAATGGTGTGTCAACCTAACACGATAAGTGAGCTAGAGTGGGTTGGTTTTTGAGCCCTGGGAGCAATTTAAGAGCCTCTATATCTTAAAGTTTGCACCTTTTTATGACTATAATGATGACTAATAAGATGCTAGTTGATCTTCATTGACTGTTCTTAAACAGCTTTGAATTATCCTTCAGTAAGGAAATAAGGAAATGTGACCACCAGAAGGCTCACTGTCTTGCATAATCTAAAAAAGCAAGAATCTATTACGTTAGCAAAGAGAATTGACTCCAAGTGTTCAAACAACACACACACAACACACTTGTCCTTCAGTGTACTTTCAATTAGAGAAACTAGTATTTTTTAAAAAGCTTTCTTAGTTAGTCAACATGTACATATACATTTTAAAGAAATCATGAAGTTGAAATGCAAAATCAGGAAGTATTTTAATTAAGAATGAATGACGCATATATTTTCCAGGTTAAAAGTGGCAAGGGCAAAATGCTGCTTTATATATTGGAGAAACAAGGTCACTTGAGAGGTGCTTTTCTTTTTATATTTAGTTTTCTCTTGTGTGTTTTCCTACAGCCAGTCTATAATTTGGCTGTTAGTGGAGTCAGGGATTTTCTTTTCTTGTCTATTCCTTATGACTATCATCAAGCATTTTCTTCTTTAACAACAAAAAGGGGAGGAAGATGACAAATTAGAAACTTATGGTGTCCTGGTAAACTATTTTGTTAAGTCGTAAACACAGAAGTCCATTGAGGGAGGGGAAAAAAAATAACCTGCCACATACTGATGCTATTTTTAAAGTTTGTTCCTGGTATGTACTTTTTTTTTTTTTTTCCATTATGGTGTATAACAATGCTTGCACTGGCTCTGATTTTAGCTCCTGCAGGCAGCCTGCTTGTTCTCAACCCAGATGGATGTGGGATGTTCACCCCACCAGAGGCCCACAGGATAGGGCCATGGCAGGACATGAAGGCCACGGTCAGCCCAGTGTCACAGGGGGCTCTTGGCCTGGCACAGGGTGAATATATCCATGCACCCTGCTCTCTGCCAGCTTGGGTGAGGACACAGTGGTGTCAGGGGACTTGGCTGGTGGGTAGTAACCTGCCTTCCAACTGGGGGCTTTCTGGATATTCTGCACCTTGTTTGGCAGGCATGCAGGCAACCTTAGGGGCTTCGTGGGAGGAAGGAGTGCTGAAGTAAGAGCTACTTCAAGTAGGACCTGTGCTTTAATGACTGCTTCCTTCATTCAGGACAAGAGGCTGGATGACAGATCTGCAGGCAAACGTGCTCTGAGGAGGTTCACAGGGTGTCTTCTGTTGCTGCATATGGTGCTGTGAGACACAACAGTGCTTAAGAAATTGGAGTTGATCAGTAATTGGAACAAGAAACTGAAAGTTAACAACTATTCCCCCAACAACAGTTGGGGAAAAATGCCCCTTTGTTGCTTCCTGTCCTCTTTTCCCCACACCAGCAAGACCTTTGTTCTCCCTCTTTGTAGAAGACAGGTGGTGACCAGCCTGGTTTGATCCCTGTTCCATTTGAAATGGCAATTCTTTGAGATGCCATCCAGTAGTGCCTCACAGCCCACTGTTTGCTCCTTCGTTTGTGTGACTGTGGCTATGGAAGGAAGCGCGGTGATCGGTCGGCAGCTGTGCCCGCTGCAGGGAAGGCTGTGGTCGTGGTATTCCTCAGGCTAAATCCAGCCCTGTGCACACCCAGTTGATTTACTTCATTTTTGTAGAGCAGTTCTTTCCTCTCAATTCATTTTTAGTGTTCTGTTTGCAGAGAGGCAGACACACTGGAAAACTGTTTTGGTTTTGTGCATATGCATGAACACACACACCTGCATACAAAGCCTGATATTTTCGTTCCCTCTATAAGAGTCTAAGATTAGTTTCTTGTAAAGTTAAGACAGGTCAAAGCAATAAATTTCAGCTATTTATGCTCTACTCTGTGGAATAATTTTCATTACTATATTGTCTGAATAGCTCCCAAATAATTGTTTGTTTGTTTTTCACCTAGACCCTGTTAAACAGTACAAAATATTGATAATGTTATGAAGTCTCGCAGGAGAAAAAAAAAATGTATGATGCATTAGTTAAGGATTTGTAGTGATGTATGGTGCAGTGTAATGCTGCAAAAGTGGAAAATTGTGTGTTTTTATAATGATAGTCACTTCCAAAGGTGATATTACAGATATCAGCATTGTTGGTTTGTATTTTGGTGTCACATTCTGATATTTTATATACATACAATTATACTTTCCTTTCCAGGAGTAATTGAAGTCTCAGCTCAACCAGAGCAGCCAGGAGGAGGCCAGCGGGTGGTGGTCCTGTGGTCTGTGAGCTGGGGTAATGCACCACCTGCTCTCAGTGCTCAGAGCTCTAGGCATTCCTCACCGTGGGTGCGTGTATAATCAAAAGCTTTCTTCGTTTCACAGCATTTATGGGAAGGCT